ATAAATGTTTATCTTTGGGAGTTGAACATGAGGTTCTGCAGTTCCCCATCTTCTCCACTAGATATCACTGAAACAGTTCTAGTTGATTTGAGTTTGAATCGAAGCGTTTTCACTTACAAACGCTTTATTTCACTTAAAACATGCAACGTAAATTCCCTGTATAGATGTACAAATGTAATATAGTTAATATTAACCTTTTATGTGAAGAGATTTTTGCTATTTTAGTTGTCTGAGTTTCTTTGTTGTCCTATTGGACTAAAATGTATCATGTGACCCGAAAGACAGTGTGTTGGCTTTTATCTGTAAACATTAGTTTAAATTTAAAGCTGGAAAACGATTGCTCGACCTGTAGTTTCACATCGTTACGGTTCATAGTAAAGTAGAAAAATGAAATGTGAATTTACAAAATATTAGATGTAATTTGTGAACCGTGAGTCAGAACATCAGTGAGGAGGATGAGGTGGTCTCCTCTGACAGTTGTACAGCATTGCTTTATGGCCATTTGGTTAAGATCAAGTGTAGTATTTTGTACTTATCAGTTAAACATCTGAAATATTCTGTACCTGTGGAAATATGAATTAAATTGTTATTTGGAACAGGGAGATGGAGTAAGAGCTTGCTCAGAACCCTACATGCATTGACCTGGTATAGCAGTACCTCTGAGAACAGTGCACCTCCTCTTAAATGTGAAAGAAAATCTTTCTATTTCTTATAGCATAGACTTTGGTTATAGTTTCTACTCTACTATAATGTGAAATATTACATTTAATAGATGGAGAAAATTAGTGATGGGCAAATGCAGCTTGCTTTGAAAAATGGTTCATTACTCGAAGCTTTCCAACACAGTTCTCTTTGGCTCCATCCTGTGGCCAAAAGTATGAAAAGCTGCTTGAAACACAAAGTGAAGCGCTTCATCGTAATGGAGACGACAGATCTTTAATGAGATATTTCTGTTTGATATCAGGTTGTCATTGTGTTGCTTGAACAGATTTAATTAATTTTTTTCTTTTTTGTGGGTGGGGATAAAGTTACTGTTGTTTATGGTTTGTTATAAATAAAATAAAGTGTGCCTGTGTGTTTTATACTGAATTATTTCAAGTTCAAGATCTTAATTCATTTTCCTTTAAAAACAAAATTAATTCTATACACACAAAAAATCACTAATAAAATGAAAGACAGAAAGCAGAAAGAAAAGTCTAATTTTATTCTCTGCCCGTTATTTTCAAAAAATAAAATATA